ACACTACACTTCTCTAGAGTGTGGTCTAGTCTAAAAAGCTGAGCTCAGTACCGATTCAACCTCTCGAGGTTCCTGTCAGGTGAAAAGAACAGAAAAAGAAAGAACACAAAAACAATGTGCCTCACAAATTTCTCTGATGACACAGGCTTACATAAACCCCAATTAATAAATACATAAAACTGTTTATGTACTAGATCGTTTCTGTTACTTACACCATCTCTGTCTGGAGACCCCCTGTGCAAACCAAAAGAAAGGAAAATGTTACTTAAGACACAACTTCTTCATTTAAGTGAGTCTTTTTCTGATTAATCCAGTTTTCACATGATCATAGTCACACACTTCCACAGACACGCAGGTTCATAACACTGTTTTGTGTAGGATTAGAACATAGCTACAAAAATTCAAAGATTGACTAAACAAACGCCAAAGGCAGCAGTTTCCTGTATTCTGACTGTCGTAGTTACATAAATGCAGAACATTTCTTCCCTTTATCTTACACAAAAAACAAGCAACAAGTATTGTAAGCTGGTGTATTATTGTAGAGATCCTAAATAACACATGATATACAATAAAGTGGTCTATAAAGTATATACAGTATTCAGCAGTGACTCGTAATTGGCTGGAAGACCCTTGAGCCGTAGATGATTACAGGAAGCTGCTGTCTAGCATTTCACGTATTTGACATGAACCACACTTAATATTAATGTGTTCAGTCAGCCTGTAGCTCCACTTCACAGCATCATAGTGAAGCACTAATAAGCTCTGTGCATGGATCAAACAACACAACAGAGGACTTACGTGGAATCATTGTCCTTCTCTTTCTTCCGTATCCCAAAGGCCTTCCTGGTACGTTTTTTCAATCCTGAAAAGAGAAAAAGGTGAATTATTCTATGCAGACACAAAGACGTGACTAGAAGTTGAAGGTTTCGTGGGTTAAAGGCTCAGTGAACGACTCATCCATCACCCAGGAAATTAAATAAAATGTTTTATGTGTTATTTAGTGACTAGTTGCATCAATGCGAGGTCAAAAAAAAAGGATGAAAACAAAGTTTTCTGAGCACAGCGAACATCAAGAAAGCAGCCGCTGAGAAACTGCTGACTTTTAATGCACCGAACAGGAATTTGATTACTAGCTCAAAATGCTCGCAGACAAATAAACATCAAATCAAGCAGACAAACTCACAAGGTGAGAACAAAATCAGCCATTAAGTTACTGGAGTTGGTAATTACTCAGTAACTCAGGGGTCATACCAAACCAGCCTTCTACAGTCATAAGCTCACCTACACATCACCTCACATCTCCTGAAGCTCTACTGGAGCCGCTCATTGAAAAACAACACAAATGATTACAGCGCTGGTGTGTTTAGGCCTCGAGGAAGCTCGGGCGAGTTCATGCCTTAAAACAAAACGCATTTACTCTGGACTTGGTACAGCTGCAGGACAAAAGGTGAAAAACAAGAAATGCAGACATTGTTCACATGAAACTTCTGGACTTTCTCCTGTTTTACCAATTTAAGCACAAAGTATCCTGTTTGTTCAGGAATTACACTACAAAAACGACTCTGCCAGTTGACCAGCACATTAGTCCAGCTTCAAGTTCTAAAAGTTAAATGTGTAATCTTCTCCTAGTCCCAGCTTAGTCCTCCTGTCTATGAAATGAGTCATGTTTAGTTACATTAGGCTAAACAAACTCAAATGCTCGCACCTTTTTCTTACCCCAAATGAAGGCCCAGTTGTCCTCCATTTCTTCTCCAATGTTTCCCTTACTCTCATACTTCCTCCTCTTTGTGTGGTTGCGATCTCATCACATAATCTAAGGACCAACCTATTTTTTCCCCTCATACCACATGCAGTTACACACAAGTCTCCAACCAGAAACTTGATGCTACTTCACACACACACAAAACGGTATCATGCTCCCGTCCTTGATGTGTTCTGGTACTCAAATTCAACACCAGTGACCCTACTCATGAATAAAAGACAAATATCATCATTGTAGTCTCCTGCTAAAAATTAAGAGCGTCTACAGTCCTCTGCTCACCTAAGAAGTGTCATAAGCTGGATAACAGGAAACCACACCGAAGCTCAGCAGACTACTACAGCAGACCCACAGGGAAAAAAGGAGAGTACCTGCAGCTTGTTTACATTTTTTCCATGTTTTTATTTCATTTCTCCACTCGACTAATTTTGCATCAGAACGAGAAATCAATCCGAGAAGGCCTCCAGGACACAGACGCTCTCGCCCAGAAATACTCTCCCATTGATTCTGCCAACATATTCAGCCTTGCATCCTATTAATGGTGACTGTCAAGGTTCAAATAAATATCCCGCTGCTTATAATCAGCACCAGCACACATACAGAAAGACTAAAGGCAGTTTCATATGTTGCACGTAAGGACATGAATCTGTCTTTATATACGAAAAGGTAGACACACACACACACACACGTCACTGCGGAATATTCATGATGCCAAGAGCGTCATGAATTCTGACGGACACGAGTAGATCAGGTGTTGGAAAGAAGTGCTCGTTTCTATAAAGGCAAGGTCAAAATTAAGAGTTTAGGTAAGGTCAGAAATCTTATTTCCACTTTGCGTGGCTACATGAGGCACACGATGAGTACGCTTTCATACGAAAACATCGGCTTTGAATCAGTGAGGTCACTGAGATCGTGGATGAAGAGCAGGAAGGTTTCCGTTTTTCTTTTAACGCTTTCTTATCCTTTCATCTTATGGTAATGCATCACCCGTCTAACACGTTACAGACCTTAAACAAACAACCATCGATGGCCTTCAGCGAAGCGACAAAGTACCAAAATACAACGAGTATTATTACTTTCATGTACTTCAGCAGGGCGACTGTGGAAGCCATCATGCTGTTTGTGTGTCCCTGTGAGTACATACGTATGTGTCGTTTGCACACATACACAGACAGCTCCTCCCCTCAACTGATGTCGAGCTTTACCCCTTTCCCTTTCAAAGTACAGACGACTTCATTTCGCGATGCCAAACTGCAATCTCTTCTTTCAATCTCTGGCTTTCCCAGACCAGTTTCCCCTCCTGATCTCAGTGAACCATCTGTGGGAGGCTTCCAGATGAGGACACAGCGTGCTCTCTCTCAGCCTTTAGTATAACGGATGGAAGGAGCTTAAATTGTTCCTTCAACAGCTGGGCTACCAAGGCACAGACATTTATTTTAGTCTGATATCGTCCTGTCCGATTAATCTTTGAACAGTTTGACTTATGGCTCGCTCACACTGGGGTGGAGTTTTTCTAGTTTTAATGAGGTTGCAACTAGGAAACCAATGAATAAGTAAGCAAGTAAACAAACATAAATGGGAATAAAATGAATAAATAAATAATAATCAGTGGACCCACTGACGCAGAAAGGTTTTTTTGGTGCCAAACCTTAAAGTGCTGCAAATAGTTGCAACAACCAACTGGTCTCCAACAGACTGATCATGCAACACAACCAACCAACCTGATCCCACAGTAACTGCACAGGTCACCAGGTGGGAGGCAACCTGTCTCCAAACAATCACGGCCTGGTGTGAACTGACTGCAAACACTTGCAGACAGACCGGTTTGCAAATGACTGCAGACTCATTTAACCTGAGTCAGTCTGCAGCAACGAGCATGACTCATCTTTGCGTTTTTGATGGGGGACGTGACAGCTGGGTGCTAAATGTTTGTGTTGTGGCGATTTAAAAAAAAAAATAATAAGATTGTCGAGCACCTTTATCATCATTCAGTTAAATCACCAACCTGCAGCAACTACATGAATCTTTATAGACAAACTGCTGTTTGAAATCTGAGGTAAACGTGAATTTTTCTGAGAACATAGATGGCAACAAATTTGCGACTGCCAGTTTACCAGTTAATCGCCGTCCCATCACACATGTTATTATTATCAACTTGACCCCATTCGATCCCAAACTAACAGATCGACAGCAGACAAAATGTGCGCAGCGGTCACCACAGTGGACAGCTATTCAAAGGCTGTTTTCTTTCATTTGTGTCAGTCTTGATGGTATACTTGCTCAAACCACTCCATACCTGCCACCCACTGGTCAGCCAGTTGACTGACTAAGTGGATATGTAAAAAAACTCTTTGAAAAGTACATGTTTTAAAAAAGAATGAAGTTCAAAAATCTTTTTTTATGCCTAAAGATGAATAAAAATCCTGATTGAGGTTGTAAAAATCCATGCATGAAAGGGTTAAATCACAATCTGAATGCACCAAAGCTGCTTCAAAGAGCGATGAACCTGATCTCATTTTCAAAGGCAACACGATCGTTCGTGTCACAATTTTGTTCATCGCACAGTCTCCGGTCGGTGTTTTCCTAGTGTCGCTGTAGCATTAGCTAAAGAGTTGCTTTGACTAAAAATACAAAAATCCAGTTGGAAGCATAAAAGTCGTTTACTTTTATATGTTTCCTCTCGTGAGGCTCAGTTAAGGCCAGCAGGAAGATTCTGGGCCGTGATGGTTTTCAAAGTGAACCAAAATGTCAGAAATCCAGTTCTTTCTTGACATCTTACTTGTTTCAGATTTGACAGCTTAAATAAATACCCCTTTACTTCTATTTTGGGGTTTGTTTCTACTACTTCCCTGAAGCAGCAGCTGACATATTCACAGCTGTACTAAGAAAATGCACATGTATGTGTGTTGTTTGGCTCTTTCAGCGCACATTACCTTAAATGAGTTCAACCCTGCAGGACTATTTTGTTTTATGGGAATTACCTCTTATTGCTTTTATGAAGCTTATTTTTATTTCATGTCCATCTACAATAAAACAGCACTCCCAATAATTAAAGAGTGCAAGAAAAGGACAATAACACAGTATAATGAACAAGGAAAACGTCGTTTTATTGGAGGTCATTACAATGTTTAGCATTGAAATACGCACACATAAAAATACATCAGAACAGATATTTGTATTCACACACGACTCCACCAAACGTTTGTATTTTTAAATAACCCAATAAATGATTATTCCTTGTTAGGACCAGTGCAGGACCTGCACCATGACATGAATGCATGAATGTGTGTGGCACGAGTTCATTAACAGAGAGGGAAATAACAGGGTTTGTGGTGCATACTATTTAATGACTTGATGGCTTCCGTTCAGAAGGATGTGCTAACGTAATTAGTGGTCTCTTCTCAAGACACAGTAATGCAATTTCAGGAAAAGTCAAAGGACATGAAGCCAAACAGGACAGGACACTGCCAAATCTAAAAAACTACAAGGCACTTGAAGAGCAACAGCACACCACATTTTGTTCCCTAGAAGACTGTGGGTCTCTGTACTAATTTCTATGGAATTCAAATAATGTTGATTTGTTAAAAATGTGTGGCTCAGGCCAACCTTGGAGGAGGAAGCTGAACAAGAGATGGTGTTATCACATCTCTGTGAGATCCACCCTGCAGCCTCAATCGAGTGTTTGTCACTAACAGTCTTCCATAAAAACAAACCATCACCTTGAACAACTGCAATTATTAAACTGAGCACATGCTGTTGCCATGACAATTAACCTGAAGATTGTATATTACTTGCTCAGTGCTCATGTGCAATTTTTGCAGGTAGACAAACAGAGCACATCGACACAAACCAAAACACCTCTGAGAAAAATACCCGTCTTGTATACCTGATGTGTTGTCAGGTAGAAAAGGCAAATTAGGAAATGAGGGGCACAGCTGCAGTTGTGCAATTACGAAGCCACAAGAATACAAAAAAAACAGATGCAGAGGGGTACAAGATGCACCGATCCATCTTTATGATCCATGTTTGGTGGATATTCCACCCGTTTTTAAAAAATGTGTGCTATTCTGCTTTTTTATTTCACTACAATTTCATCGACTACT